CCAGCGGAGGAATGGCCTGGAAAAGTCGCGTCTTTTGCAGCAGAGCGTGGCCTGCAGATTGTCAACCCGCGGTTGAAACACGGCAGTTCGACCATCGATTTCGGTGATTATCCACACTACACTCCAAAACAGGGTGGTGCAGGGATGGTGACTTGCGTGTGAATTCGTTTAAAGTGATAGACTTGCGCGGCATGTACAGCACTCCCTCTTCCCTCACCTACCTGGAGCCGGTGTCAAGACACAATCAGAAAGACCGGAGGCAGGATCAGGCGCGGCCACGGTCACCCACACGCGTGCCAACAAATCCCCAATGCTTGGCATTTGTTATGGGAGCTCAACCTGAATAACGTCTGCCATACCCTGTTGGTCCGGCACATATATCAGTTACGGTGGTCGAAACACACACGACACACAAGACTCTACTATGGAGGACCACTTTGCAAACCAACAGACAAGGTCCTCCGAAGTACGGAAATGACGGTAATAAGGGGCCTTAGGAGTGGTGAAAAAGATAGCAGTAAGTAGATGTTGTAGAGGAAAACGTCGAGAAAAGCACTGATTATTGACACTCCTTGACGAACTTTCACCGCTGGCTAACGGAACTCACCCGTTCCACACTGTCTTAAGTCTCATTCTCATGTCAATATGTCCTCATCTGAACCGGCAAGAAAACGAGCTTGTGGCCCAGTGGTTAAAGCGTTACACCTCATGACCGAGTTAGAATCTCGAGTGCTACACCACTTGGGGCTGGGTATAACTGGCTGACGACAGCTAGTAAGCCAGAAATGAACATTCCAGTCTCCCTTATAAGTAGTCTGAAATAGTATACCAAGATCGTTTATCAATTACTGTGGCTGAACCCCTGCACCAAAGGATAGAGGTCGCGCACACCTTACTGACCCATCTTGCAAGGATGTGGTATTGCACGATCAGTGACCCAATTTATGGACATGAAGGTTTTGCTCACGCATCAAATTCACAGGTTGCCAGTTGAATGAATACTGTAAACACATTGAACCCAGCACAGCACGAGGATCCAAACGTGGACGAAAATTTCAGTATTTTTTTGGTTCTAAGGTTGACAGGCTATGGCCTCCTACGTTAATAAAATGTCAATACCTGTTTTTTCTTCCCAAGGCTGACACGAGCAGACAACAAAAAGGTCTACGGCAAAAACGCAAATAAGCACTAGAGCGTTATACAACCAAACCACACAGTGCTATGTGGTTTCTACTTATTTAGTTTATATAACTTGATATAACTTAATAAAATTCAGTCGACCTTCATTAATGAACTCATCCGTCTCGCTCTGCCTAAGGTCTAGAGTTCGAGGCTCGAATGGGACGCCACTTGGGTCTGGATATGATTGACTGACGGCAGCTAATGAGCCATACATTTCCATTCCAGTCTCCCTTGTCTTTGCTAGTAATACTATCTGCCACGCATTCGACCCTCGGTCGGATCCGAACCAACGACGCCAAGGGCAAGGGCGACGCTCTAATCACCTGAGCTACAACGTCCTACAATTGGGACAAAGGAATTGTTTAAATCCACCAAAATACACGTTAATTATGTGAGCCTGGTAATCATCTGGTTGCCTAGAAAACCCTGTTTGGACAGTCAGAATACTGTATCGGAATAGTTGCAGTAGACTGAGCGGGTAAGTTAACCCAAGTATAATTAAACCCGCGGCTCCCGATCGGGCCACTATTAAAACAGACTGAGTTTACTGAAGCAAGATGAACCCCGGCTCGTTAGCCCCAGAAGAAAAACGTCAATCAGAGTTTTTTATGTACATGGACGGAAACGGGGAGGGAATGCCAATGGACTAGCCGACAACGTCCTTTTTGACGCGCGATTCTTTCTTTTTAATCTTCTTACGTTGTTGGGCGGCCGCCTCACGTTTTCGCTTGATTGGCTGCTCAAACTGTAGGTTTCCGCGTACTTCATCCTCCTCATCCTCTGAAGAGTCAAGCTTGGTTGCATCTTCTTCCGCCTCTTCTGCGGCATTCCGCTTCTTTCGCTGCCTGGAGGCCTCGGCGTACGCCCGACGGGCAGCCTCAATACCAGCCGCTCCGCTTGCCCAGTGCTGATTAGTTACTTTCGCCTCCCCATCCTGATCGAGGTCAGAGTGATCTGCGGCCGCCTCGTCTTCACTCTCCGAGGAGGCACCGGTAGCCCGTAATTTCTCAAGACGTCGTTCCTCCTCCTGTCGCAGGGCCTGCAGGGGAGAGAGAATATCAAATGTTTTGACATTAGCGATGAGAAATAAATCCAAAAAGCAAATTCCCAGAAAACAGGCAAATATACCATGTCGGACGGCAGGTAAATAAAGAACCTTTAAATTAAAAGTTCAGTAATGCAATAAGAAGCCAAACGCAGATGGTTAATAACTATCGCCAGTTCGTAAAAAGCCACAAGAAGCTCCAGTCTTCATTTGCAGAAATTGAATTCACATTCGAGACGGAGGTTGATGGACAACTCCCATTTCTGCATGTCCTTGCACATCGAAATACTAATGGATCGCTCCGTATACTCGGAGGTCATCCCACACTTTGAGAGTAACCACCCAGTTCCCCACGAAAGGAGTGCTGTCTGGTCTTCTAAATTGAGCCAAAAAACACTGCTCTGATGAATAAAGTTGTCAAGCAGCAAATGAAATATCTATTTCGATTATTCTCCAAAAATGCATACACAAGAAACCTCGTGCGTCAGTGCATGAAGCGACAAGAATCCAAGCAGAAAGGTCTTTCAAATAATCCAGCAACCGAGGCACCAAAAACAATGGCCTAGCCAACTTCCCCCTACGTGCAAAAATGTGTGCGAGCTTGTCGAAAGACATCTAAGGAAACATCAGTAACAAGTAGCACACAAGCCCACAATTGCCTTTCGCTCACAGCTTGTACACCCTAGGGACAGGGTTGGCTACCCTGACAGAAAAAGTGCTGTCTACAAGACCCCGTATGCCAGTTGTAATGCCTGTCTGAGTGGAGGTCAAGTCAATTCAAGTTTATTGAGAGAAATATAGGCAAACGCCTTTGAACTCCCTATTAGTGCACAGTAGTAAAGAAATGCATCGGCACAGCCGAACATGGAATGGATCCGACAAAGCTAAGGGAGACCGGAATGGCCATTTCTGGCTTACTAACCGTCATCAGCTAGGGCAAACCCAGAATGCACATTGTCTCACACCTAGATTGGCGATCCCCACATGTTCTTGTGCAATATGTCAAGGAGAAGCGTCATCCTTGCGGCTGTGGTTGGGATCGTGCTTGAGGCTATTATTTTCGCCCGCTAGCTGTGCTGCCGACGATAACCATAGTTGTGTTAGAGGTCACTTACCACATATAGTGTATAAAAAGCTCATTAGAGTACTAAAAAACCGGACGCAGATAACGGCTTCGCGGTCCCCACCGATCATCAGTACGCCATAGGCCGCCTTGGTGCCCTGTGATGTGAAGTACATGAACTTGTCAAGTACGTTATTACTGCCAATTTCGGCGCTCAGGATGCATATTCTGTGTCTAAACTAACGCAAATTCCACAGACCACACACCCATTGGCACTTTAACACACCGTAATGAATCTTTAGTAGGAAAAAGGACGAACTGCTGCCCTAACGAGAGGTTACTGAGAATCAGCTATTCGTCAGGTAAAAAGCCGTTGATTTCACCACGTGTGCCACAGCGTGGTGGCGGTGCACAGACGATGGCTTATGCGTGGAGTAGTTTAAAGTAAATTCGCGTTGCAGTCTCGCTCTTTTCCCTCCCCCACCCGAGCCCGGTGGCAAGAAGACCGGAGCCACCACCACGTCTGACTCAGATCCCACGAAGTGGGAATGCCAAACAGGCCCCGGCTGGCTGGTGCCTGAGCCTGCACATACGCGTGCCGCCCGTGCACCGCTCATACACCCCACGGAGACAGAGAAACCCAGATTGTGCAGTATTTATAGTTGGTAGAGGGCATCCGCATGCGCACTATAATTATCAGATCCCGTAACCACCGCTGGGGGTCGTAATTGGTGCGGTGATGGCTTGGCAGTTCGTCTTCGAGTCACTGATTGCCGCGATCTCG